ATGGTGCCACTGTTGTAAAACAGGACAGACCTCAGAGTTGGGGGGAGACTGAGAAACATGGGTTCAATAATGTATACTGCATTGGATCTGCATATTTTTATACTGGCATTTTAACTCATCTCCCCTGGTCTTGGAGAAGGGGTCTTCTCTTGCCTATTACCTTTTGATCCCCTGATAACATGGAGGATTCATAAAGATCTTCCAATGGTTATAGATCAGGTGTCCATCTCAGGCAGGTATATGAAATGAGGCTGAAAGAGTTTCAAGATAACTTAAATATGAAAGTAAAAGATCTCAGGCATCAAAACCCAAGTAGTACCTTGTTAGGTGCTGTCGAGTCGCCAGCAACCCTATGTATAGCAGCTATGAACCCTCCCTATACTGAGCCAGTCTCACTATTTCTGACACATGAAACCCCAGTAACTGTATCAATCCATCTCATCCAGGGTCTTCCTTTCCTGCACTGTCCCTCCACCCTTCAGAGCATGATGTCCTTTTCCAAGAATCGGTCTCTTTTGGCCATGTGCCCAAAGTATGTGATATGAAACCTCAAAATCCTAGCCTCCAAGGAGAAACATGGTTTCACCCTCTCCAAGAGAGACCTATTTGTTTTCTTGGTGGTCCATAGTATGTTCAAGACTCTTCTCCATTACTACAATTTGCATTGATTCTTCTGTCATCCTTAGTAATTGTGCATAGCAAGTAATTGCAAAGACCATGGCCTGGATTAGGCACACCTTAGTCTCTAGACTGACATCACTGCATTTCAGTACTTGGGAGAGGTCCCTGACAACAGATTTTTCCAGTGCAATTCATCTTTTGATTATCCTGACTGCTGGTGCTAAAAGTGTTCATTGTGGTGCCAAACAATCTGAAGCTGTTTACAACCTCAATCTCTTCTCCATCTATTATGGTACTGCCAGTTCGCTCAGTGATGAGAATCTTTTTCTTGATGTTGAGCTTCAATCCATGTTGAAGACTACAGTCCTTGACCTTCTCAGCAAGTGCTTCAAATCCTCCTGTTTCAACAAACAAGGTTGTGTCATCTGCCTAACACAGGATGTTGACGAGTCTGCCTCCAGTCCAGATGGCACATTCCTTCTCATTAAGCCCTGCTTCCCAAATGATCTGCATATAGATTGAAAAGGTATAGAGACAGGTTGTGTCCCTGATGCAATCCTTTCCAGAAAAACACAGCATGATTAAAAAAATAAGGAAAGGTCTAGTACCTTAGCTGGGTTATTCCAATCTGGTGCCTGGTCCTGTCTTGTAGGCTACCACTTCCCAGCAGCTAGTTAGAGTTTGGGAGACAGTTCATGCCAAACCCAGAAGAGACCAACAAAAAACAATGCCATTAGCCTCCTTCACTATGGGAGATGAAGCTGACCAGGCTCTTCTTCAGAGCTCACCTCTCCCACAAGGCATTTACCAAATGACAGATCTGAAGGGCACTTGTGAAGGTCAGGTTTCTAAGTCAGTTAGAAATACATCTATAGACGGTCTCTTAGGCAAGAAAATTTGCCTATGAGAAATCTCAAGATACTGTAGCTTTGTATTTTGTGAGTCTTTGCCAACCTTTGTCTCCTAATTAATAAAAAAACCAAACTAAAGCCCCATCTTATCCTTAACTGTTATGGAGGTCAGTCCTAAATGCCAAAGAATCCCATAGAGGGGTTTCTGAAACTGAGCCTTTAGGAACAAGTACATTTCAGGAAGGAGGAAACCAAGATTCCAAATAAAGAATGATTAAGAGTGAAAAAAGAACTGAAGGTCTACTGAATAATATGCAGAATAAAGGGTAACAAAGAGTATACAGAGTTATTATAGCAAAAGGAATTGGCAGATACAGAAGAATTTCATGAAAGAACATATGAGCAAGAGCCTGTTGTGATGAAGGAACTTCAAACTGCTTTGAAAGAATTGGCAAAAGATAAGGCCCCAGGAATTGATGGTCTATTAATTGATATATTTCAACAACAGATGCTGCCATAGATGTGCTTACCAAGTTATGCCAAGAAATCTGGAGAACCACTTGGCCAACTGACTGGATGAGATCTATATTTGTTCCTATTCCAAAGAAAGGTGATTCAACAGAGTGTGGAAATTATTGAACAGTATCATTAATATCACATGCAAGCAAGATTCTGCTGAAAATTATCCCAAAATGACTGGAGCAGCACATTAATAGAGAATTACCAGAAGTGCAGGCTGGGTTTAGAAGGGGTTGGGGTACTAGGGATATTGTAGCTGATGTTAGATGGATCTTGGCTGAAGGCAGGAGTATCAGAGGAATATCTGTTTCATTGATTATGCAAAGGCATTTGACGGTGTGGATCAAGACAAACTGTGCCTGACTCTGAAAAGAATGGGAATTCCAGAACACTTGATCAGCTAATGTGAACCCTATACTTGGACCAAGAGGCAGTCATCTGAACAAAGAAACACGGTATGGTTCAAAATTGTGAAGGGTGTTCACCAAGGATGTGTCCTATCTCCATACTTTTTCAATCTATATGCAGAACAGATTATCCATGAGGCTGGGCTCTATGAGGAGAAATGTGCCATCAGGATTGGAGGAAGACTCATCAACAATCTGCGCTATGCACATGACACAACCCTGCTTGCTGAAACTGAGGAGGATCTGAAATGCTTGCTATGGAAGGTCAGGGACTGCAGCCTTCAGTATGGATTGAGGCTCACTATCAAAAAAACAATCACCACTGGGCCAATTGGCAGCATCATGATGGAAGAGATTGACATTGTTCACAGCTTTAGTTTGCTTGGTTCCACAATCAAAACTCTTGGCATCAGCAGCCAGGAAACTAAAAGACGTACTGTGATTGTAAAGTCTGCAGTTAGAGACCTCTCTCTGAAGTACCGAAGAGCACCAATGTCAGTCTGGAGATTAAGTTGCACCTAATATAGGCCATGGTCTTTGCAATCACTTGCTATGCATCAGAGAGCTGGACCATGACTAAGGATGATAGAAAAATTGATGCCTTTGAGCTATTGTATTGGAGGAGAGTACTGAATATACCATGGACTAAGAGAATAGATTTATCCTAGAGAGGGTGAAGCCAGGCTGTTCCTTGGAGTTAAGGATTCTGAAGCTTTGTCTGACATAATCTGGACATGTTGCAAAAAGGGGCTGATCCTTGGAGAGGGACATCATGCTTGGGAGGGTGGAGGGACGGCATAGAAGAGGAAGACCCTCTATAAGGTGGACTGATTCAGTGACTGGGGTAATGAGGATAGGTGTGTCAATGACAATGAGATTGGCACAGGATAGAGCAGAGTTTAGGGCTATTGTCCATAGGGTTGCTATGAGTTGCAGGTGACTCAATGGCACTTAACACAAACATTTTCTAGGTGGAAAATCAATTGTTAATTTTGTCAATAGTTTAACTCAACAATGAGAACAGATAGTGTGATTGTAAAATCATCTCAAGTAGGCAAATCTTTTGACATCTGTAGCACAACCTTAAGGTTTGAGACTGCATCTCAGTCACTGAGTCTCAAGAACAAATCACCCTACAGCCAGCACTGGCAGTGAGCCTACCTGGTGTTACTGGGAGGCAGGATGCTACAGGATGGGGAGCTCAGTGGGTTGCTAAACTTCCAAAACAGCTGAAGGCAGTTCTCTCTTGCCCTGGTTGAACTCCTGTCTCCCCATCTTTCTTCAGAGAATAGGCCCAGATGATCCCAAACATTCTCATTAGCTTTAGTGGCATAGCCCATAGGGAGTTGCACTGCTGCACTTCTGGAGGCTTAACTCCACGAACATCCCTGAGAGACAGATGGGAAGTCTCTTCTCATGCAGCCTCCAGAAACCTACTGGAGAGTCAGCTATGAATTGGTTCCAAATTGACAGCAATGACAGAGAATGGCTAACAGACTCCAATCTCTTGAGCTTTTGTATTTGCAGTCCTCTCAGCCTGAGCGTTTCTTTCCTTAACTACCTGCACGGCACACTCCTTTACCTTTTCTCAACTTTGTCTAAATGGCAACTTATTTGTCACCTTCTTGTTGTGAACTCCTGATTGAAACTGTATGTAAGCATACATACACATAACCTTTCATGGCAGTACTCATAACCTCTCACTGCTATGCAATCCTTCACAGTAATAAATACATGTGCAAAATGATTTATTTATTTATTCCTTGTCTATATTTACATTGTCAACTGAAGCTCCAAGAAGGCCGAGGATTGCCTGGCATTATGTTGGCACTCAAGTATCTGTTGAAGGAATGAATGACAAATTATAATGGTTACACTGGAGAAAATTTTATTCAGGAGTCTCAAGTCGAACAGCATGGTTTTCAAATAAGGATAGAGTGGATCCCAAGGCCAGAGCTTCTGGAAAGCCATCATTTTCCCTTCTTCACATGTGCTGGAGGTCCTCCCCTGGGAAGGGCCTCTCCTCCTTAAAGTCAGTATTTTATTTACTTAAAACTGATTCCCAGGCTCGAGCTGTGGCTGTATTCTACATTCTCTATTTTCTTGGATCAAGCTGTGAAGAACGTCAAGAACTGTACCTACAGTACAAAGCATCATGTGGAGGGAGATGAAATGTGGGGATGACGTGCCCACAGATCACTGCCGGGTTTCACACGCTAATTCGCAATTTACAAAATAACACCAAGTAAGGTAACAGACTTGCGCTTGCATCATAAACTGTTAAGTGTAACTAGATCTACAACTCAAACCTGGACAAGACCTGAGCAGGGAGGGTGTTACTCCATCTTCTTAGAGTAGTAATAAATAAGCCTGCAGTGAGGTCAGCGCTGGAGGCAGGCCCATGGACTTCCCCTGCTACCGCTGTGGGGCCAGGCCTGACTCATAGCCCTCTGTCTTCATGTCATTGAGGCCCAATTCCTCGTTTTGGTCAAATGTGCGCTTGTAACGTTCCACCTTCATCTCAGGATCCTCTTCGGGTGCATACACATTCTGCAGGACAAGGACATACGATCAGTGCTTGTTTCATCCTGTCACATCCAACCCCTAGCAATTTCAATTCTCATTTTCCCAAGCCTGGGTCAGTTTTTCTTTCTTTTTCCAATTCCTTAGGACTAGGCTGATGTAAGTGGGCAGCAACTGAGCCAAGTGGGCAAGGAGTGGGACAGCTCAGTCCCAGGGCCAACTGGGGAATAATGTGCCTGGAAACTTTCTAACTGCAACTCTTCAGGAGAGTGTGACAATGACCTCAAATGTGGTTTTGTCCCATGATAACGAGCCTGTAAATGTTTGTTATTATCAATAACCACGATTTTCCTATTTGGCCTCCAGATTAAGACACCATTTCACCTTTATTCCACAATCAGATTTGCAGAATGAAAATCTCAGAGCTTCACTGAGAGCTAGGGACAAACACTAAATCACAGGCAGACAAACTCCAGGATTATCTTTTTTTCTCTCTTCACATACACTTAATAGTCCCTCCCACTTTCTCCTTTTCTGTGTTTCAATTTCTACTAAGAGATTATCTGCTAAAGTTCACTTTTTACCAAGACTTCCAGTTTCTGAAATTACACATATTCAAGAAAGATCAGAATATATAAAACTATGAAATATCAAGGAATGTTTACTGTACCTGCAAATAGCTGTTTCCTGCTGGATCGTCCATAATAAAGTGGGCCTTCATGTTACCCTCAATGATCTAAAAGGGTGAGAGAACACAGCACGTAAATTTTCTACAGCTTCCAAGAAGAGTCTGGATCTGTCAGACAATAACCAATCCAATTTACACTGCAGGATACCCGAAAGCTCAAAAAACTGATGGAATTAGGTAGCTTAAGAAGTAGAACAGAGGCGAGCTCTGGTGGCCTAGTGGCAAGAAGCTGCACTGCAATCCTGCAGGTCTGCGGTTCAAATCCACCAGATGCTCTGCTGAAGAAGGAGGAACAATCTCCTCCTGTATCAGTCAGATCTGATTTGACAGTACACACAAAAATTAAAACACACACACACACACACACACACACACACACAAAGAAGTAGAACAGAGAGGGAGCTCTGGTGGCCTAGTGGCAAGAAGTTGCACTGCAATCCCAGAGGTACGAGGTTCAAATACACCAAATGCTCTATTGGAGAAGGAGGGGCAATCTCCTCCTGTACCAATCAGATCTGATTTGATGGTACACACACAAAAAATAATAATAATAAAAAAGAAGTAGTAGAACAGAACCTCTGGGTAGCACAAATGATTACATGATAGTCTATAAGCAAGAGGATGGCAGTTCAAACCAACTCAGAGAAACCTTGAAGTAAGGCTGCCTTTTTTATAAAGGCAACTGGGTTTTTTGGAAACCCAATGGAGAAGTTCTATTCTACACACATATGAGGCTGAAAGGTCAGAATTAAGATGACCACAATAACAAGCAGAGCAAGAGTCTAAAATACATAGAAGCTCTGGTGGCCTAGTAGTGGTAAGAAAACGGTGATGCAATTCTAAAATACTCCATAGAAGCTATTTAAGAAATTCCAGCAATACCCAAAAACGTATGTCTGTCTACAGAGGTGTGTGTCCATGTGCATTCATGTATGTGGTTACACACACACACACACACACACACACACACACACACACATAAGCACGTAGGGGCATAGTTACAGGTATTTCTTGGACATAAGCAAACACTAGGATAGGCTGTCTAGATTTAAAGGATCAGGATCATAGTCTCAAGGGATATCTTGGCTTTAAAATATAATTCATAGTTACATTTTACATCCTAGTTTGATGAATAGTGTCACTTACTCAAAACTCACTGTTGTAGAAACTGATTCACAGCTGACCCTCCAGTAGGTTTTCAGAGGCTGTAAATTACACAGGAGGAGAATGCCCATCTTTCTCTTGCACAGCACCTGGTGGATTTGAACTGCGGCACCCCCTCTGTTAATCAGTGCAACTCCCTACCTACTACACCACCATAGCTCCTGAGCAGTATCTTGGGTCTCAAAAATTTGGCAAGCTGCCAAACAGTCTTAAAAACTTAAAAACCATGACTGGTCTCTACTTTCCCAGAGCAAAAGACAGACACCAAAGACTCAAAGAGGGAACTCATCATACGGCCAGAAGTCTTTTTATGACTCTTCTACACTGAGACAGAAAAGCCAATCAGTGCTCCTAGAAGCCAACAAAAAAATTAAGTACATTTACTGAGCTGGTTGTATGTGTGTGTATACTGTCAAATCATATCTGACTGTACAGGAGGAGATTGTCCCTCCTTCTCCAGCAGAGCATCTGGTGGATTAGAACCATTCACCTCTGGAATTAACATATTTCAGCTAACAGATGTTGCCCTGGATGTGCTCACCACGTTGTGCCAAGAAATCTGGAGAACAACCACCTGGACAACTGACTGGAAGAGATCTATATTTGTTCCCATCCCCAAGAAGGGTGACCCAACAGAGTGTGGAAACTATAGAACAATAACATTAATTTCACATGCAAGCAAGATTCTACTGAAGATTATCCAGAAACGACTGGAACAGCACATCAACAGAGAACTGCCAGAAGTCCAGGCTGGGTTTAGGAGGGGTCGTGGTACTAAGGATATTGTGGCTAATGTTAGATGGATCTTAGCTGAAAGCAGGGAATACCAAAGGAATGTCTATCTGTGTTTCATTGACTATGCATAGGCATTTGACTGTGTGGATCATAACAAACTGTGGCTGACTCTAAGAAGAATGGGAATCCCAGAACACTTGATCGTGCTAATGAGAAACCTGTACTTGGACCAAGAGGCAGTGGTCAGAACAGAGCAAGGAAACACTGCATGGTTCAAAACTGAGAAGGGCGTACGCCAGAGATGCATCCTATCTCCATACCTTTTCAAC